GGATTTTTGTACAAGTCCATTGGCTGAATCCTACTTACATATTCCAAATTACAGAATAGCTCGGTGAACGTACACACTGTGTAATCCCTGGGTTTGTAAACAGGAAATGCTAATCAAGCAGTTATTTTCCTATAGGTAAAAAACGCTTTGTCATGGCAACTGTCAAAACAAGTCAATGGACTAAAAAAAAAGAGCAAGTAAACAAATGTTTCCTGGGAATGTTTTTTTCCACACTGCCTTCAGCAAAAATTCTGAGTTCAAGAACTTTGAATACAGTAAGCCCTAATCACCTTGTGGTAACAAGAGAAGATAAATTAAAATCAACACTGTCCTTTAAAAGGGGGGGGGTTCAGGAACTGTCAGGATGCTGTGCTAATTTAACAGCAAATGCACTGTACATTTTCCGAGTATTGCTAATATTGAATAGTTTGGAGCCCACCCATTCCACTTTGCCAGTGCAACCACATTACGACTGCAGCTATTATCACTGCAATGTTGTAATCGCTTTGGGCGATCTGCTTCTGCAACAGATCATATATTAAATGCATCCAGAGACAAAAAATAACTCCATGAGATGTATTTGAAACGTTTTAAACGAAACGTTAAGATAAGAAGTTGAAAATGGTCACAGTTAAATTATGGGAAGTTACGACAGTCGGGAGAAGTTGTGTGAATGGTTTGGCAACGTCTAAACAATTCAGGAATGTACATCCTTCGTGTTGGGCCGAAGAAAGTAGGCTGATTGGGAAATGCAAAATAGAAAGGGTATGCTAGTGGCAAAACAGCATTCCTCTGCTCTCAAATAGCACACCACATCCTTGATGTTTCGTTCACAGATGACTGTGGGCCTTTTAAAAAAACTTCGATTGCAATCTTACACATTTTTTAATAGGGCAAATCTGGCTGAATTTAATAAAGCTTCCTTTTGAGTAAGCATGCTTAAAATACTGGTATAATATATACTACATAGAGACGACAGCAAGTATGGACTAGAATTGGAATTTAGATAATGTTAACGTCTGTCATCAATTGACTGTCAAAAGAGTGACCTCTGGATAAGACTATGCTCCGTTAAGAAGCAGTGTTTATGTTCCTGCAGGAAGTCCTTCAATGCCGTTGTTAGAAAGCTAATAGAAGCAAACTGTACTTCTGCAAAAAATGACTGATTTACAACTCAGAAGAGTCTTTAGCTGAATCTCCTGTATCGTTTTTTTTTTCCTGTTCTGTTCAAAGAGTGGCACAAAGATACAATAAACAGCACATGTAGGCTTATTAGTTCAAATAAAAATAAATAACCAAAGCCAGGGAAGGGATCATGGCTGAAACTCCCTTAAGAATGCGAGAAGTATCTTGGGATAAGCTCCTTTGGCGTAAAGTTTTCCTGCCATCTGCAGAGATGCATCTGCTTTCTGGAACTTCACTTTCACTTGTATGGAAGGAGAGCATCACCCATACCTGCCCTTTCACTCTCTGAAGCACAAGATCCGTGTTCATAGCTGGACTAGGAGGGAAGACCTGTCATGTGGATGTCAGGGAGCCATGCGTAATGCTGGATGCTTAAAGAGCTAAACCAGATCCAAGTTGCATAAACTCCTCTAAATCATTAGGCAAATCCTGCAATTCGTTGAATGTAAGCTGAAGAAGAGAGTCAAAAATGGTGCATCCAAACCAACATTTCCCCATCATTTCAAATGAAAATGACTGCCAGAAGGTAAACACAGAGCAGCTGCACAATCTCTAAAGAGGAGGTATTCTCTTTGGCACAATTCAATGCCTTCTCTTCAATGGTCTCAGAACGATGAAGGCATTCCATTTGGGGGGAAATTGTAAATTCTTTCATTGCATTGCCCATTTTATGCTAGTAGACTTTTACAGTTGATAACCCCACATAATTCCCTGGTCATCCTGCTAATGTTTACAATTTTTCCCCCTTATGTACATGTGACCCTGTTCTTTTAAGCAGAGCCAGATTTTACTATCTGTAAAATGATAGTTGATTCACTAATAGGGCTAATTTGTTTTACAATTAGTGCTTATCTGTATGTAATTTGTTTATACTCTTAAGCTACACTGTGTACTGAATAGAAAGAAAGAAAAGGAAGGAAAGCAAAGAAAGCCAGAAAACAAGAAAGTAAGGAAAGGAGGGAAGGACGAAAGGAAGAAAAGAATGGAGGGAGGAAGGGAAGGAAGGAAGGAAAGAAAGAAAAATAAAGAAGAGGAAGGAAGGAGAGAAAGGGAGGGGGGGAGGGAGGAAAGAAAGAAAAAAAGAAAAAGTAGAAAGAAAGAAAGAAAGAAAGAAAGAAAGAAAGAAAGAAAGAAAGAAAAAAGAAAAAGCCATTTCTGAAATGTAGAATAAGAGAGGGAAAAGACTTCTTGTCATCTTTTTTCACCAAAGTATAAATTATAGCACAGGAAATGAACAATGAAAATACAGTGAGTAAAACCATCCAAGAAAATGTTCTAAATGTAACTATAAATTTTCCACAAGCAGATAGATATAATGTAATGACTAGATACACATAAACAATGTAAAACAGACATAAACAACAGCAAACAGGCAGTTATAGAAAAAAATCTTTATTTCACTAATGGACCATTGAGTCTTTATATTCCTGGTGAAATAAACAGCATCATCTCCTGTAAACGAAATTAATCTCAGGTCCAACATATAGTGAGGGATATCTCAAATATTACAAAAATGTGATTAATCTTTGCTTTTCCGATAATACATAGCCTTGAGTTACACTGATGTGAACTAACAGAATTCCTTTCAATGAGATGCCCAAGTTCTAACAACATTTCTCTTTCATCAGAAGAGAATTAATTGGATACTTGCATTCCTGATGCTTTACATATGTATCAAAATGATTATTACTCAACAGGTTTGTTTTTGCAATGTTCTGTCCTTAACTGCTAGTAGTCATTATTATAAAAAAATATTATTAACTGCTAGTAGTCATGTAGGTTTTAAACAATTGTATTTTCATTATTTGCTCCTCTTTGCTGTGTCACCAAGTTTATGCTCATATTTAAGGGAATACTCGTCTTTGTATTAGGTTCCCCCCCCCCCCCAGATATCATCTTATAGACTGCTCAACAATTTCTACTCTGACTTTTATCATCCATATTGTTCTTTTTCAGGTATCATAGATGCAAAAGCAGCTTTGGTGGTCAAAATATCTGTCTGCAGGGGAAACACTAAGCATTCCTTGTTTACTGAACAGATTTGCAGCCTTCCGGATACCAACAGCCTCTTATGTCTCTTGATTGTTTCAGTTTTTAAAGAGCAGCTCTTAAAATAAATCCTCAAAATCAAGAAACGCAACCACTGCAACTTCCTCAAGTATAATGACCTCAGTTTACTAGAGTTCAGCGCAATGGGTGAACTTTCTACTGTATTTTACATCTCCAATTTAACATTATGCAAATGTACTGAAGTAACAAGGCAACGGATAAGGCAGGGGTCCTCAACCTTGGCCACTTTAAGACTTGTGGACTTCAACTCCCAGAATTCCTCAGCCAGCTTTGCTGGCTGAGGAATTCTGGGAGTTGAAGTCCACAAGTCTTAAAGTGGCCAAGGTTGAGGACCCCTGGGATAAGGCAGTCTTTCAAGCTTTTATGAACCACCACCCCCATTCCCTCCTTTTATTTCAGGGTTAACAGATGTCAAGGGGGGATAATTGAGAAGCGCGTCTTTAGCCCCCCCCTCAGAGCGCCGGCGCGTCGTACACGTGTTCGCGCTTTTCACACGTTCCCGCTCCTTTACCACCCGTGGCCTGGGCGTGGCCCGCGCGGCCCCAGGGCACGTGGTCGAAAGCCCCGCCCCTCCCCTCCCGCTTCCCAGCAGAGGCGACGGTTGGTTTCGCGCCCCTCCCGCCGCCGCCGCCGCCGCCGCCTCCTCCAACGGTCGCCCGCGCGCCGACAGGTTGTTTACTTCGCCGGCGGCTCCACCCACTCCTCCTCCCCCCGGCCCTCGCGCCCGGCCATTGGTCCTCGCCGCGGCCAATCCCGGCCCTCGCAGGCCCTCGAGGCGGGCGCGGCGAGAGAAGGCGGGGTGCGTGTGTGAGGCGCCGTTCCTTGAAGAAAAAAAAGTTGTAAAAGGGGGGGGGAAGAAAAACATCCACTCTTCTCCGCCAAAATGCCTTCCTGCCCTGCTGATTGGCCGGCGGCGAGGGAATCGTGCCCGCCGATTGGTTGCCCCAGCTGCTGCTCCATCTGCAGCGGCCGGCCTCTCTGTGTATGTGTATTTTTTTTTTCCTCTCTCAGTCACTCATCTTACACGCACGCACGGAGCGGCTCCGGCCTCCGCCTGGCGTCGGTTCCACTGTGTGAGACGATGATTGGACGGCGCCCAAGCCCCTCCTTCCGTGCCTCTTGTCTCTCAAAAACACACACACATCGCACACCTCGGCGACGTTCCACACCCCGGCCCCCCAAACCATTCATCACTCCCGCCGTTCATTGGGCCGAGCGGCCGCCCGTCATTCTCAAAGAGGCGTAAGAACCCACCCGCCAGCCAAGGGCGGGGTGACTGACGATTGGACCCGCTGAGAAAACTCCGCCGACTCCCATTGGCTGCCGCCCCGCCCGCTCCTCCAGGCTCGGCCGCGGAGTCTCCCCGCCCCGCCTTCTGGGCGGGCCCAAGCGCGGCCTCGCCTCGCGTCCCCCCTTTTCCCTCCCCGCCCGCCCGCGCGGGAGGGGGTGTGGGTCACGTGATGTTTTCGCCGTGGTGCCGCCGAGCCTGCTTGCTGGTGTGAGGAGAGAAGCGGGAGAGTCGGAGCAGCCCGGCGCGTCTGACCGGCGGCTGAGGGGTGGAAGCAGCCGCCGCCGCCGCCTTGCCCGTCGCCTCGTAGGCCGGGAGCCGCCAGCTGGGCCGGCGCCGAGGAGAGAGAGACCCGCGGGCACTCATGTCGGGCCGGGCCTGGGAGACCCTTCCCTTGTGAGAGCGGCTGCTTCCCTCGCCTGGCGTAGCGCTTCGGACCCTGCCCCGGCCCCTTAAGATGGCGAGCGGGATGCTTGGCCCCGCCGGGGAGGGCGGCTGCACCGCGCTGGAAGGCAAAGACGAGGCGGCGGGCACCGCGGCCGGAGCAACGGCAGCAGCAGCAGCAGCAGCAGCCACGGGAGACGGCGTCGGCGTCGGCGTCTCTTCCAGGCTGGCGGCGAATGAGGAGGACCAGGAGCCGGCCGAGAGCGCTCCCTGCCCGCCCCCGGCTCAGCCCCCGCACCACCTCCTGCTCCTGCTGAGGAAATCGCCCAGCAGCTCCCTCTGCCTCGTCCAGGAGGAAGATGCCCTGTTGCCCGGGGACCCCGCCGCGCTGGGGCGAGCGGGAGCCCCTGCCACCCCCCTGGGCCGGAGTGGGCCTCCGTTGACCTCTGCCCGGGGCTCTGCCCTGACGCCCCCGGCCAGCATCACCTGGGGGGACGACGTGAGGAAATGCGGCTACCTGAGGAAGCAGAAGCATGGGCACAAGCGGTACTTTGTGTTGCGGGCGGAGAGTCACCTGGGCCCGGCCCGGCTGGAATACTATGACAGCGAGAAGAAGTTCAAGAGTAGCTTAAGGGCGGCGGCAGCGGCGGCGGCTGGAGGGAATGTGGCCCTTTGCTGCCCGTCCCCCAAAAGGGTGATTCCCCTCTACCAGTGCTTCACGGTCAGCCGGAGGGCAGATGCCAAGCATAAACACATCATTGCCCTGTATACCAAGGATGAGTACTTTGCCATGGTGGCGGAGAACGAGCCCGAGCAAGAAGGGTGGTACCAGGCCATCAGTGAGCTCATGAGCCAAAGCAAGAGAGGGTTCTTGGAGCAGGAGGACCAGGCCGATCAGCAGCTGGACGACGACGACGAGCACTACGGAGCTACCCTCCGCCCAGGAACGGTGTTCAAAGAAGTTTGGCAAGTCAACGTGAAGCCTAAGGGTTTGGGGCAGACCAAGAATTTGACAGGGGTGTACAGGTTATGCCTTTCCAGCAAGGCCATTCACCTGGTCAAGCTCAATACTGAAGTACCCTCCGTCCACTTGCAACTAATGAACATTCGGCGATGTGGGCACTCGGAAAACTTTTTTTTCATTGAAGTGGGCAGGTCAGCCTCCATTGGACCAGGTGAGCTATGGATGCAAGTAGATGATTCGGTGGTTGCCCAGAACATGCATGAGACTTTTCTAGAGACCATGAAAGCTCTAAAAGCCTTCTCTGAGTTTAGACCTCGCAGCAAGAGCCAGTCTTCTGGTGGTGGCAGCAGTACCAACCCTATTTCCTTCATAACGACCAGGAGGCATCTTGGTAATCTACCCCCTAGCCAGACTGGCCTGCAAAGAAGGTCCCGAACTGAAAGTGTTACAGGGGGGACTCCTCCCACTACCAAAAGCAGCAGTGCTTATCGCTTCAGAACTTCTAGTGAAGGGGAGGGGACGATGACCAGACCATTTAGATCAGTTACTGGAAGTCTGATTCATTTGAATACTGCAAGGATGAATTTGGGCCGCCAAGAAGGGAGTGGACGATACGTTAGAGCAGCATTTAGCTCTTCTTATCATACTAGGTCTGCCTCTCTGCCAGTTTCTCATTTTCCTTCTACTACTAGTCCCATCAGTGTTTCTTCGGGAAGTGGGCATGGATCAGTGACCGATAACTTTGTAAGGCCTTCCAGTTCGTCTGTGTGTGGGTCCCCAAGCGATGGAGGTTTCATCTCCTCAGATGAATATGGTTCTAGCCCTGGAGACTTTAGGTACTTTCGTGTCAGAAGTAACACGCCAGATTCCTTGGGCAATACTCCACCAATCAGAGAAGAAAATTGTTTAAATGAATACATGTCCATGAACAAACAGCAAACGGATAATAGTTCAAGAGATGATTACCGGGAGGCTGACAAATGCTTTAGAAAAAGAACATACTCATTAACTAAGCCTGCCTCAGTACCGGGACAACCGAAAACAGCCCAAACTACTTTAGATGAAGATTCCTCAGGAAGCCACGGACGCCTGTCTTGTTCTGAATCACCAAGATTTAAAAATAACCCTGAACTTGAGTATGAGGAATCAATTCTTGATTCTGTATGTAATCAAAGCAAGAATAAAGCCAGAGATGATGGGTACATGCCAATGATGCCAGGAGTTGCATCTTCTCTTGCAAGCAACAGTGACTACTTGCCAATGACTCCTAAAAGCACGTCTGTTCCAAAGCAGATCAACAGTTCCTGGTTGTCAACTCAGGCTGATTCTAAAGGATATATGATGATGTTTCCCCGGACTGTCTCTTCGCCTATACGTAATCCATTAACTGAGTTTAATTCTAAATCTGGCCATGAAAAGTCAACAAATAATGAGTATATGGATATGTCTCCTGGAAATTCTGCTGCTCCAAAGCAACCCTGTGATCCAGATTATATGCATGCCAACATGGATTCCAAAAATTTTGGCTCATATTTCTCTCTCCCACGAAGCTTTAAGGCTGTAACTGGGGAACATGATGAATATGTTCCAATGTCATCACCTGGAAAATTATTGTACGTTGGATCTGAAAATGGGAAAAGCAACGAAGTTCTGGCTAATGGCCTTTCCAGATCACCCCATCTGAAAAGTTCAGAGGAAGGCCTTGCGCAGAACAGGGTGACTAGGCCTACAAGACTTCCACTCGGTACTAGAGGTAGTAACACCATCCCAAGAATGTACGATCGCACAATTCCACTTGAGCCATCTAGCCCCGGTGAATATATAAATATAGACTTTGGGGAGAAAGCGAGTAACACGCCGTATTCCTTATCTGCAGAAGGATCTCCATCATCTCTCGGTTCCAGTAGTGACCATAGGCAGTCGCCGCTTTCCGACTACATGAGTGTTGATCTGGACATCCAGTCCCCCAAAGCTGCTAAAGAACTATCTAACTCTTTGACGGACATTTCCATTTATGCAAATTCGAGTCTCTCTAGAAACCTGCCTGATGCTGACTATGCTAGACTTTCCTTTGGTACGGCTTGTGTTAGCACAGCATGTGGCCGGATTGATGACTACACCGAGATGACCTTCAACATGGCAGCCACACCACCTGGACCATTTGCCACAGAAAGCAAAAACGGATTAAAGATTGATAGTCCTCCTTCTATAGTTAACCGACTGTGCATTGTTGACCAGTATGCTGGTCACAGGGACTTCCCTCCCTCGAATCCGGATCCTCCCGTAGTCCCTAAAGTCATTCGAGCTGACCCCCAGGGGAGGAGGCGGCACAGCTCCGAGACCTTTTCTTCTGCAGCCACTGTGACCACTTCTTCCTCTTTCTTTACTGACAGTAGTAAAAGGCACAGCTCGGCCTCTTTCGACAACGTGTGGCTGAAACCCGAGGAACACATTTCCGATGGTCACGAAAGCAAGATGTCCAGAGATACTTCCACCGGGTTCCAGAATGGCTTAAATTATATAGCTCTCAATTTACGGGAGAATTCACTAAACTGTGAGGAGAGCCCCAATACACCAAACTGCCACCTCTCAAACGGTACTCTAAATCTGGAAAGTGGAGTATATGTAAGCATAGACTTCAGCAGATCAGACAGTTTGAAGTGCAACTCCGCAAGAAAAGGTTTGTAATTTTGGCAGGCACCTGCTCTGAAATGCTTAATGCATGTAAAGTTTCAGTATATTATTTTGAAATACAACTTTATAAAATGTTATGGATGTACCTTAACCCTTTTCATTTCCCAAACCTTTTCCTTGGGTGGCATCACTATATAAGGCACTACTGTCCCTTAAACAGAACCCTTCTTCCCTGTTAGATTGCACACCCACCACCCTCAAAACATTGTGGGTGTTCAGTTGCAGTCAAGGAAAACTGAAAGGTTCTGAGCAAAAACAACAACACTGACCAAAGAATTAAATCATTATCACTAAATGTAACTCTTTGACATGATATGCTTCCCTCCCCTTGTTAAATTGTCCTTATTATGCTTGGTAATACAGTAGCCAGATTTAAAGTATTTGGGTAGGCATAAATCATGTTTGCATTTGTAATTCCCAAGTTTAGCTCAGAAGTTTTACATCTTTCAGTATAGTAGCAAAAAAGCAATAGCTGTACACGTTCTAAAGGATTTTGAACCATCTGTTTTAAATCCTAATGTTTCAGATGCCTGAAATTTTTTTTCTCATTCATAGTTTTAGAGATCCCTTGCAAAACAATTTACATTTTCTCAGGTCTTGGAGAAGAAATGCTCCAGTTACAATACAGTCCCCCCCCCTATGTTTTTTTTTCTGTGAGAGGTCATGTTTAACAGGCTGTAGGCCAAAGCAAGATTTGCAACGTTATTTATACTATTTTAACTTTAAAATATAGTTTTATAAAAGCAATTATTACAATGAATTAAGTTGGATTCTCTTCCCCCAAAGATTTCTGGGAGCAGTAGTTTTTGGAAGAGAAAGAAAAATAGAACACACCTCAGTGTGCTCTATTACATGATTCTAATTACTGTTTGAATTATGGTCACTTAGCAACTAATGATTATTTTCATGTACTTTCTGTACATAGTATTTAAAAATACCAGAATGACAACTGAGTAATAGATTACTATGGTTTTTTTTAACAAGAACTCTTTGACTGTCCCTCCATGTAAAGACATTATAAAAGTGTCCTAGAGTCCAACATTTTGAACAATGTTTCTGTGTACATCTTACATTTGGGTGTCTGTTTGTAAAATTGAGTCCCCTGTTAGAGCTCCCATCATCTGTGATTATTGCTTATATTAGCTGAGGGTTGGGGGGGGAGGGATGGGGTTGTAGTCCAATGCTTCCTGAAGTCACGGGGTTGGGAAAGTGCTTTACAGCCTATGGAAAAGATTACATAAAAGATGAGTCAGTCTGTAAGCAGGGCACTGGGGATTTAGAAAAATATGCAGCTTGCCTTGGTGTTCTTTTCTCTTTGTTTTGACTTTGGCGAGATTCAAAGCGTTTAAGTGTTCTCCCTAAGCTATTGAATTTCAGTCATGTGCGGAATTCATCTTTTTTTTTAAATTAAGTGCATTCAGTTTCATTAGAATCAAAACTAGTGAGACCTTATATATACTGCTTTGGAGCTGCTTTAAGAAAAACTCAGTTTTTATCTCAAAGGGTAATTGTACTTAACCAGCATATACATATGTGAAGTGAGCAATTGGCTTTCTGTATCTGACTGAAGCAATTTTAAATTTTTAGCATGTTACTATCTTTTTGCTATTGATACCTCACTTGAAAACTTAGGAGAAAGGTTGCATTTATTTGCCCCTGCTTAATTTATATATTACTCCATCCCGAGGTTTACCATAGTAACTCTTAAATATGAAAAGACATGAAAAGTTTGGGACTGGGAGTGATGACAGTTGCTGAGTTTGGTAGAGTTTAAGATTCTGACTGTTATATTTCCTTATTCAAAAGCTATGTACTGTACGTGCATTTTGTGTTTATGAGAGTTAGTGTATTGTAGGCAGTTGCTACCATCCAGCCCAGAATTATGAGCATTTAAGCTTATTGACCCAGTGCTCCTTATTTTCCATCTCTTGTATGATTAATCACCATATTTGAATAAAGCCTGTTCCGAGTGGTAAAAATGTGCTTTCCTAGTTGGAAATAACTGGAAGCTTTTCAGGTCCTACAAAGGTAGTGTTTTCAAGTATCTCTCCTTAGTAATTGCACCAAGTGGAACAATGAAATATAATAATGTCAGAGTAGGTGGCTTACGTCTGTCTTGTTGCTATGTTCTGGCTTTATTTGTAAAAACACCACAAGTCCCATAACACTTTATTCTAACATACTGTAGGAACCCAACTTTCGTGACTACTAGGGCTTCGTTTTTTGTCGTGTGAACTTTGAAACAAGGATAAAGTGAACAAACAATGACTAAGTTAACCATGGCTCACTACATTCTGAGAATGCAGCCTTTCTCATTTCATCAGTGAGCAAAGAAAGCAGGAACATCATGACACGCCTATTCAAACTTGCTTAGGCTACTTCAAGGCTGTGTCTGGGACATGTTTGTCTCTAGATGTTATAGCCTTAATAACAACCTTAACGTCAGAGGTGTTTCCAGTATTCTGTGATTAAGAGCAAACCATCAAGGTGCAGCTCCTGTTTACGATACGGGCTGAATTGCTCATTTAATTTAAGCATCTCCACTGAAATTTTCTAACGTTGTTTGCGTGTAAAATGCAGCAGATTTCCCATAAGTATGAATTATGAATCCGATTCTTTTACTCCAAGGCATCATACTTTTATACAAACATTTCTGCTTAAAATTGTAAAACAAACCGTGAGTTTCAGGTAACTTGTTGAATGCACCTGTTTTTCTCAGCATGTTTCACATTTGGCTTACTAACGTGTACGTCTTTTGCTTAAAAAAGATTATTGCTTGAACACACTGCCTGTAGTTTCTGCAAATAGAAACTCGAAAGGGTTTGTTCTTCCAACCCTTAAATATACTAATTAACACAAAAACCTAATGAACTCTGCAAAGTTTCGTTGTGAGAAGCAAGACTCATCTGCCAGGAATTGTGCTGTACTGAAGTTCCCATTTTTCCTGGGATCCAGATAAAATATTGCTAGCAGGTTTTTTTTTTCTATTACTATGCCCCTCCTCCATGCTTTTTATGAATAGGAAGACTTGATTTGTCTTGCCAAACAACTGGAAACTAGGGAAGCAGAACATTATATTGTGATAAATTGAAGGTGACATCTTGTGAGCAGGAGTAAACATTAAGACTGAAGTGAATTGTAACAAAACACCAGTCACTTCTTCTCACAGAAAAAGTCAATTCAGGCTGTGGCAGTTTGTAGCAAAGGAGTGGAAACAGGAGTATCCAATTCAACTCTACTGTTTATTCTCCCAAGCTTGTATTTGAAGCTTCTTTTGGCAAGTGTGGTTTTAGGAAGAAGAAGTGTCAAGCAAAAAGTCAAGAACCTTTCCCCAATCTTTTATTTCTTCATCCAGAATGCTCCCCCCCCCCGTAAAGCCGGTTTGCTTTAACACAAGCAACTCCCGAAGTTTACTACTACAGTAGATCAGAGCTAAAATGACTTCCTTTTTTATTTTCACATAGTCTTTAAGTTTTTCTAAATCAGTAACTCCTCAATTGTATTGTTTTGGCTGATGCGGTTGGAAAACCCTTTACACCTCCTCCCCTTCTAAATAATTAAAAATGCAACATCTGATCAAGAATCTTAAAATGGAGGTAATTTGTACAAAAGAAAAACTTAACCCAGATTTTGTTATTTACGCTTCAAAATAAACGAATATCAAAAGATTGAAAATTATTGGGAGAAAGCATAGAGGCTAATAATTCTAATAATACATGTTTTCAGATGTTTTATAACATTGGAGTTCCAAGTTCTGGCACAATTGTTTATATATGATACACGTATATGAATTTGGTAAATTGTGGGCAAGGAAAGTTGTTTCAGATACAGGTAGTCCTCGACTTAGGATCGCAATTGAGCCCCAGTTTCTGTTGCTAAGTGAGATATTTGTTAGGTGAGTTTTGCCCCATTTCTTGCCATGGTTGTTGAGTGAATCACTGCAGTTGTTAAGTTGGTAACACGATTTTTAAGTGAATTGTGTCTGCATGTCAGGAGGTCGCCAAGGGCGATGATCACATGACCCCAGGACATTACAGCCATCACAAATACAAACCAGTTGCCTAGCATCTGAATTCTGGGGATGTAGCAATGGCCATAAGTTGTTTAAAATAGCCGTAAGTCACTTTTTTTCAGTGCTGTTGTAACTTTGAGTCATCACTAAACAAATCACTATGGGAGGGCAGTTCAGATTGCAAGAAGAATGAAAGAACAAAACCAAGTATTGTTGACTCTAGTTACCTTGCTTGCAATAATTACATTGACTGTAATCATGAAAAGAACTCTTCTTCTACTCTTGACATTGTCCTGTTTATTTGACCTGAGAAAATTCCATTCCAAAGCACCATCTGTAATAGAAATATTAGCATAGTATTTCACAGCCTGTACTCGTCGTAGAGGGTGCTAAATCTCCAGTTGGCTACAGGGCTGCACCTGCCATCTTACTCCCTTCAGATACTTACCTGGGGCTACGTGTGTCATGCAGACCTACCCAGCCAATTATATATTACCAAAATAATCCACTTTTTCTAACCATGACTTGTTTAGCAAATCATGGTTTAATATGGTGTGAAATGTGCATGTTCAGCCTGCTCTTACATGCTCAATTTAATAATACACTTTCTGCATCGTCAGTTCCTATCAGTTTCATACTCAAAGCATTTTTTAAAAGTCTTTTAACATCAGAAGTGCAAATCATGGTTTAATTTTGTTTGCAGTTCTGATTTTTTTTGTGTTCAGGTTGTAGTTTTATCAGTTTAGATAAACTACAAATGACAAACAAACGATGAACAAATGGCAAGCCAGAAAATACTTCGTTAGACTGAATGTATAAAAATAAGATTGCTTGCTTCCATGCATGTTGTTCACTCCCAGTCTTCTAAACTTGAGAAGGTGACATATGGA